TCCTGGCCAGGAGGAGTCGAGTCTCTCCCTGCACTGCCTGCTGCTGGACCTGGCTGTTCCTCCCCTCAGCCTCCACCGTTTCTTTGGCTCCAGTGTAAGCATGGTGCCCGGCCCCGGGCCTCTGGCTGGAGCACTCGGCCACCCCGGAGACTGGGGCGGGCACATGGGAGAGGGCCGGAGGCAGGCCCGCAGCAGCCCTGGCGCCCCCGCCACTCTGCTGTCTGGGCTTTGCTGGCAGCAAGACCAGGAGGGTGGGCTCTGCAGTGAGCCCTCCCCCCTCCCCCCGCCTTGGACTTTGGAGGTGCTGGAGGAGGCAGTGTCCCCGAGGGTGTCCAGATAGCGCGGTGGGAGGGGGTGTCAGGAATTTGGATGTAGTCCTAGGCTCAGAGCCAGGTCAGATGGGCTCTGGAGGGGGCGGGGGCGGCATTGTCCTTGTCTGCACCTTGCCCAGTACACTGCTTTCCTAGGGGCCTCTGAGGACCAACGATGGCAGGGTTTATTCCAGTGCCCGGAGTGATCTGCTAGTCAGAATTGTCCCCCGACCTGTGTTGCCCTCAGCTCCTGGGAACAGGCCAGAGGCAGCCACTACTGAGGGGCTCCTGACACCTCCTGTAGGAGGGGTCCTCCCCAATGACCCATCCTCAGGGCAGTGGGCTCAGTGGGCAGGGGCCTCCTGTGGTTAAGCCCCTGTTGCTGTGAGTGCCCTGTGGATTTTGATAACACCGTCACCCCTCTGTGCTGCAGCCCCCGTCCCCTGTCCCTTTTGTCAAGGATCAGTGGCAGGGCCGCTGACCCCTGGCCATTGTGGGAGCAGACCTCCCCATCTCACGGCTGCAGACTTGGCGCCCCTGCCCACCAGGACTCGCAGCCAAAGGCTTCGACTGCCACCGCCCTCCTGGGGCTGGCTGCTGCTCCCCCTTCCACATAAGGGTGAGGGAGTTTTGAGGGGCTGGGGGGACATGAGGCCAGCACACACCTCAGGTGGCACATGATGGGGGTGAGGCTGCACCTGGCAGGCCCACAGCAGCAGCAGGAGGGCACAGAGGGGCAGAGTTCATGCCTGACCAATGCCCCCGTGCAGACCCCGGGGTGGTGGCTGTGAGCAGGGAAAGCCCTGGATCAGGCCCTGGAGGCCCCAGGCGGACACTCACCGCAAGGCGGGCGACGGTGGCCCCGGTGAAAGCTGTGCGGAAAGGCCCTGCTTGGCAGGGAGGCTGAGACGGGGGTGTGTGTGTCCCTCTCTGGGAGATGCCAGGTAGCACTGCCGCCTGCCACTGTGCAGGGGGCACTCATCTGCTCTTCTGTCTGTCCACCTGCCTCCTCCACTCAGGCTCCTGATGGCAGGACCATGTCTCTCGTGTGGGGTGGGGGGCTCTCAGGGTGGGGCCAGGCCCCCCCTTCAGACGGGCGGGTCTGTGCTGCTGGGGCCCTTCTTCTCAGGCCCACATCGCCCCTCCCTTCACACAGACACACAGGGACACAGATACAGACAGACAGGCAGACACAGACACACAGGCACACAGATACAGACACAGACAGACACACAGACAGACAGACACACGGGGAGCACAGATACAGACACAGACTCACACAGACACGCAGCCGGACACGCAGTCCTGGTCTCCACCTGCAGGGGCGCCCTGCGCAGGTGGCGGGCTGTACCAGCAGCACCTGCCCTCACCGCCCTCCCGCAGCTCAGATCCGGGCACCAGGGCTGGGGGCGGGAGGTGGGGTGGACCCAGCGTTGGCCTGTGAGCGTGGAGGCAGGAAGGGCCGAGGGCAAATCCCCGCCTTTGCAGTACACGGTGACGAGGCAGCTGGAGGACCTCTGCTGGGGACAGAAGTGAGGAACGGGGCGGCCCGGCCCCCACCCTCACTCACCCTGGGCTCAGGGCTCGTCCCTCTGACACGCCTGCCGGACCCCAGCCCTCCTGACACCTGACGCGGTACCGGCCTCAGCGCTGGTGAGCTGGGGACCCGGGCCCGCCCTGGCCGGGGTCCGCGGTGGCTGTGCCCTGTGCTCGTAGAAGGGCCCCAGCTTGGACTGCTCCTCTGCTGTTGCCGTCCCCAGATTCTTAATTTTTAACCAGGGGGCCTCAGGTTTTCATTTTGCACTGGGTCTTACAAGCCACATAGCCGGCCTGCCCTCAGCCTCTGGGCCTCGTGTTTCTAGTTTGCAGAGCGTGGGTCCTTGGGCTGCCTCCCTTTCCAGGTGGCCGTGGATTCGATGGATCCCTTCTCTGTGCTTTGTGCCCTGGGTCCCTGCCTGCTAGACCTTTTCTTCTGTTCCCACAGTCGTGATGCCTGCGGGCGAGGCAGGAACGGTGGGTGGAACGGAGCACCCCCCAGCCAGGCATGCTGCCGGGGAGAGGCAGCCTCTGTCCAGTGCACCTGAGCGCCCGGAGCCAGGAGAGGCGGCCTCACCGGGCGGGGCTCCTCAGCCTGAGCATGGCTCGTGCAGAGGCAAGGATCTAGGGCTGCGCTGGGCTGGGGGGTCCCCACACTTCTGCGAATCAGTCAGTCCTCGGACTCTGGTGGGCGAGGACTCTGCATGAATGGGGACGGGGGCCCCTCAGCGTCCTGGTTGTGGGCTCCTTCCAGGTTCGGGGCATAGCAGCAGGGTTACAGGCTGAGCTTAGGGCCATCCCGCCTGGGTTCAGAGCCTGCTCTGCCTTCTGTCAGTCCTTGGGGAGGATTGCTCTTTTAGTGCCTTGATTTCCTGACCCGTGAAGTGGGGTTGTGCTGAGGGTTAAATGGTTAAAGCACGATGCGCTTGGAGGGGGCCTGAGACGCAGTTCCAGCTCAGTGTGGTTTTATAGTTTATTGTGTGTACTTAGCAGCGGCCAGATGTGCCAGGCCCTTGTATTACATTAACAACTCTCTATGTAACAAATGAGCAGGACACAAAGACTGAGCAACTCACTGTGGGAGCCCCCCAGCCCCTCCCCAGGAGCCCCGCCCCGCCAACGTACCCCTGCTGCCTGGCCCCCTCCCCTCCCGAGTCTCCCCCGTCCCACTGCGTTTCTCTCCGGCTGTACCGTGGGGGCTGCACGTTCTGGAAGAGTGGGGGTTTCGGCAGGCCCCCTCCTCCAGTTTTGTCTGCACCTTTGAGCCCTTCTCTGTTCAGTGGACTTGGAATCAGGCCACCCTGGCTAGAATTCTCTCTTTATCACCAACTTGCTGAGAGCCTTCTGGGCCTGCTTCCAACTGGGTTGATAGTTCTGGTCCCCAGATATTCTAGAGAAATGGTCGTATAAATGAAGGTGCAGAGGGCAGGGAGGGGAGAGGGGTGTGAGAGGTTGTGGTGAGGGTGGGGCCAGGGTCCCTGAGTCGGTCTTGCCCAGTGATTCTCGAGATCCCAGGGCCAGGACGAGGCACCACTGTCCCCAGCACCTCCAGGGCTGTGTGCCCGGCCAGAACAAGGCTCCCCCTTAACCACGTGCAGCCAGCGGAAAGAGGCACGCCCACCACCCCACCAGTCGGCGCCACGCCACCCCTAGACTCATTGCAGGCGCCCCTCCTGCCTGCCCCGCCTCCCCCTGCCAGGAAGCGCTAGCCTCATGTCCAGACTGGCACGGGGTGCAAAGGCACCATTGGAGGGTGGGGCTCAGGCTCAGGCAATTCCTGGCCCCCCAGGACCCTGGCGTGCCCAGTGCAGTCGGGCAGCCCTAGAGCCCGTGGGGGCAGTGGGGAGAGTGTAGCAAGAGGGGAAGTTCTGAGACGCTCAGCTTGGAAGCTTGGCCTGAGGGCCTCCTGAGGTCTCCCTGCAGCCCTGCGCCTGCCTGGGCTGCCACCCCAGGGCAGGCCAGCCGTTCCCCACCTGACCGTCAGGAATGTGACCCCTGGGAAGTTCTTTCTGGTGTCCCTCCACTCTCCTGCTGTAACACCCCAGTCTCCTTACGATTCTGGGCAGAGGAGAGGGGCAGCTACTGCTGGTTTGTTAACCCCGTGAGCACTGGCCAGTGGGCTGAGGCCCCTTGGAGGCTGGAGATGCAGGTGCGGGGCGGTCCCCAGGGTCCTGCGGGCCACCTGGTGCCGAGGAGGCTGAGGGCCTGGGCCGGCCCCTCGCGGGACTCACACGTCGCTGCGCCTGCACTCTGCCCCCTGCCCCCTGCTGCCGGACGTCTCCGAGT